CAAGGGCGCCACCGAAGCAAACGTTGGGAACATTGCCTTTCGTAGATTCCTTAACAATCGCATCGGCCAACCCAGCGAGGGAAGGAAACCATGTCTCGAATCGTCTGGACGCCAGTCAAGTAGCAGAGGAGTCGATCAAACCCGATTCCAAAGCCGCCATGTGGAGCACAGCCCCATCGGCGAAGGTCGACATACCAGTCAAGGGGGCCGGCCTTTGCACCGCCGGTGGGAGCATCGCCATCCATAGAGCTGGTGAACTCTCCAGCAACGATGTTGTGACGCTTCATGGCCTCCAACAGCGGCTCCAGACGGTGTTCACGCATGGATCCGCCGGCAATCTCGCAGAGGTCGGGCACCAACAAGTCGAAACACTCGACCGTAGGGCCCGGGCAGGTATCGTCTGGGATTGACTGGCCTTCACGCATGTAGAAGGCCTTGATGTCGCGAGGATAGTGGGTGACGAAGACGGGCTTTCCGTCTCCAATTTGCTCGGCAATGAACTTTTCGTGCTCCGAATGCAGGCCTTCAGTCCAGACGGGCTTATGTTCGAACTTGTCGGCATGTTCTTGGAGAAACTCGATAGCATCCGTGTATGTTAAACGCGGCCACTCCGCCGCCATCATACCCTCCCATCGAGCGTTCACCTCCTCAGGAGAAACGAGGTCAGAACCGACGCGACCCTCGCGGTTAAGAAACTCGTGGACTGTATGTGATTCGTACATGGTGATGCACATGTTACGGATCATGTCCTCTGCAAGGTCCATGACCTCGTCGAGGTCGTTGACAAAGCTCATCTCGGCCTCGAGCATGTAGAACTCGCTGAGATGACGGGCAGTATCGCTCTTTTCAGCGCGGAAAACGGGAGAAAGGGTCCAGACATTACCGACAGACTGGGCCAAGGCCTCGAGATGAAGCTGAGTGGACACGGTGAGATACTTTTTGTTGCGGAAGAACATCTTGCTCTTGTTATCCTCGTCGGTCAGCTCGGCGATGTTGGACGCCGGAGCCACGGTAAACACTTCTCCCGCACCTTCGCAATCTGACGAGGTGAGGATGGGCGGATGAGTTTGAGTAAAGTCGTGGTCGGCAAAAAACCGAGTCAGGGCCGCGACCGCCTCAGAGCGCATTTTCAGCAAGGCAGCATTGATGGGGGTTCTCGGCCGCAAGTGGGGGATTGTGCGGAGGTACTCTGGTGTCTGATATTTCTTTTGGATGGGGAAAGTCTTGATGTGTGGTGGTGGTGTGTCAGAGACAGACAGTCACTTCGCAGTAAACAGAGCAGGGCGGACATAGTAGGCAAACTGACTGACCTTTGCATCGGACGGGCCCAGGATGTCGACGTGGGTAACTTGCATTTCATGAGACTGGGACGCGCCAGGCGAGGCAACCCACTTGCCAGTGAGACGGACAGCAGCGCCGATGGCCAGGCTGCGGAAACGAGACCGAGTCAGTATTTGATGCTGCACTTTTGGTATCCGAGACACGCATAATGAAGCTCGGAGATATTGCACGGGAGGAGGAGTAGTGATCGCACCCTTCGGCCTGGTTGGTGTCGACGGGGACGACGGCCTGCAGAGGAGCCAGCGAGGACCCGTCGCCGAGAGAAACGAAACGGTGGGTTTTCATGCCGCGGACGGACCGGATGTAGCCCTGGACGACCACATTGTCCTCCTCCGATTCTGGCTTCCACCGGAGGCACTCGGCAATCGACATGTGCAGAGCGGTTGTCCTCTTGAGTGGTTTCCCTGCCTCATCCTCCAGTTTCCTGAGCTGTTCTTTGGATTCTTTTACCAATCGCTCGAGTTCTTTCAGATCCCAATTCTTCACTCGTCGTGGAGATGAGCTGGAGATGGTGCGGCGGGAGATGTGGCCCTGGTCGAGATCTTTGCCGAGTGGTGGTTGTTGCGGTAGGTGGCGAGCGAGAACAGTACTGCGCATTCCCCTCGTCGCCCGCAATGTCGATGAGCTTGGGGTGCTGGTGAAAATAGACTTCCCCATCCCCATCCCCATCCCGTCCTCGTCCTCATCACGGCGGCAGCGGACGACATGGCTCAAATCCGGGACCGAATCGCGATTATGTCCTCCTTTTCTCCGAATCCTCGATCTCACTTTGACGTAAAAGAGAGAGAGACGAGACTATAGACTGAAATATTTTTTTCGGGCTGCAGCATATGATCGATATCAAGCTGCCAGTCTCAGACTCTCTCACTGCTGTTGCCGGCGACGAAACGGGCGCAATTTAGGCGGAGTCCAGCGGCAGTTCCAGGGAGTCGCTTGTTAGCGTTGTGTTACGGCCGGAGAGGCGCTTTGGCGCTGGGGGGAGGCACCCGCTTGCGCCTTTGAGGTGACGCACAGGCCACCTTCCCGTCCTCACGGCCACATTTGGAGACTTCAGTTGGAGTCTTGGAGTCTTGGAGTCTTCACTTGGACCGTTGAGGATGGCAATTAGGTATTTGGATAGATAGATGGATGATTCTTCGTTTGGATCATGAAATTGCGGATCGTAGATCATCAAGCCGCGATCCCTTCCCGTTGTTTTAGGTTCGTATGGTATCAGATACAAGGGTTGAGGTTCATCTGAGGTTGAAGCTCGAATCGATCAAAGACATACAGATGGGAGCCAAGATTGTGATGAGATTAGCGACCGAGATGTATATTGGTGGCCCGAGCTTCTTTGTTTCGACTGTTCCGGGCAATATTCACCGATGTTCGGCTTCGGTGAGCCGAGTGCAACTTGGAAAAGTGATTGGGACTCGACTGAGGTGAGGACTGCACTTTGCAGTGAGGATGAGCAAAGCAACACGGTGACGGAAGTGAGGACTTCAACTTGAGGCAAGCACTGGCACTGGCAGGGCAGTGGGCACGAGTGGCTCCACAAGTTGCCCACACTCACCGGGGGTTGTTGCCTGCCAGTAAGCTGCCACTGTCCGCACCTGCAGTTATTTGTGTCAACCAACTGCACCCGACTGCAAGCACTCACACACTCTCACTCTCCTGCACTCCGCGGCGCCTTCCTCACAAACGACTTGTAACCTGGATCACGCGATCTCGGAGACTAGATTTGGTTCTCTTCACAATGACTGCCTGGATGGATGACCTCAACTGGTGACAGAAATGGAAAGAACGAAAACTCTGACAGCTGACATTCCTTGGGTCTTTCCACTTCAAGCGTGTTTCCCCGCCCAAGTGGAAGATTGAAGTGCAACATGGAGATGGACAACTGACACTGCAACTTCCAAGAATCGAGTCTGAATGGCCTCAGTCATTTCCCTCTTCACTCTCCAACCACTTTCACTGTCTACCATGTTCCAACCAAAGTCAACGGTATTCATCCGTCTATGCCTATCTCAACCTATCCAGAACTTGAACAAGGAATCCCCACTCAAACGCCTCAGACGCCTCAGCTGTTTCGGCCTCGTTCTCCAGTCATCATTACCTCATGCCGCCGCTTGAGCTGGCAGGGCAACAACCACACCCATTCAGACCATTGCTGACCCGTCTTGGATTACCAGACGTAGCCACGATCCTGCTGAGAGGCCGATAGTCTATCTGCCATCAATCAAGTCGGCGGCCGTCCTAATCGTACTGTTGCATTGGCAGCGTTCTCGCCCCCATGGTGTGCCCTCCTGCGACGTCCTGCCTGAGCCTAGTTGCTTCTGCTGGCCTAGATGGACGCCCAAGCACGCTCCTTGCTCCTTACAGACAAGACAAGCAACCAACAAACGGCTGGCGACCATGTACAGAATCAGAGTCAAAAACTGGCTGGACATGCCGCCGGTCTGGCCGCCTTTTCCCTCTACTACGCCTGCTCCCTGTTCCAGATATCCAGATGAGCTGAGTCGGCTTAGATTCCCATGTCTCTACTCAGAACCACGTTTGCTGCACTGAGAAAGCAATACCAGCATCGCTACGGACGACAAGACTCATCAACAGTCTCAGAATAGCGACGGAGAGCGGCCTCGGTCCTCGATATCTCACACTTGACCCGTCCACCCGGCCTTGCGCACTGGATACCCGCCGGGAGCTTGTATCAGTAAGCCCCAGCACACTGGTCCCGCGAGGCGCAGGAGTACCAGATTGACTCAAGATGGCGTATAAGTTGCAACACAGCAGTAGCCTGCCATACCGAGTCTCGGTAGCCGGCGTCAGCAGGATGGGCGATATGGGGGAGGTGGGAGGGGGGCAGAAGGGGGCCAGCAAGGGGAGGAGGGTACGGTAGGTGTGTGAAGAATATTGGCATGGCAGGTCTGCCTCTACTACCTGGCCCACTGTGTAGACACTGCCCCCGGGTCCATCGCCCAAAGCAAGTCACGGCTCGTGGCCAGTGGGTAATTCTTCCTCACAGTACCATTGTCATGGTGCGTGGTCCATGGACCTCAATCCCGGCAACCACAGACCTGGAACCCTGCTGTAGCACGGTAACACGGTATTACGGTAGCACAACGGCGGTGATTTGTTTCTGACAGATCTCGCAGACCGCAAAAACTGATCAGGTAGCCGGCAAAGCTATGGTATGGTGACCATTGTCTCTTTTGCCCGCAGAGCATTGGCTAACCAACGCCCAAGATCTACAGGCCTAGCAGGCCCCCCATATGCCCGTCATATCTCCTAGTCTAGTCCAAGACAAGACATGCTCAGTTACACAACCCCATATCTCTTTTCGATATGCACCAAATGCATTCCTACCCAGGGCACCGACCAGGCCGCTATCCGGGGTTGGTTTCCAGATCTCGCCAACAGCCGCAGTCTAGGTTTTGCTTCTTTGTACATGATTCACCGTGGCTGTTTGTGGTCGTTGCTTGCTGCTGCTTCTTCACAGCCTCTTGTCCATTAGTTTCCCCTCCTGGAATTTCCCTGGTTGTCTATAAGAACGCCATCGTATCCTCTCCTTAGCACCATCACAACCCCATGATACACAGTCACACCTCAAGCGTCTACTGCACTCTCGTCTTACCACAAAACCTCCAGTAACCTCTCGCTTGCTTTGAAGTACATCCACAATGGCTCCCGGATCTTCGAGGTCATCCAGGCCCAAGCCGTCTGAAGTGGCTGCCGAAACCAAGAGGCAACACATTCCCTACATTAGATCGTTGGGCACGTGGGATATCAGCTCCTATCTTTTGCATCAACCGCTAGTGCAAATCAACTTCCAACAGAGACCCCACGATATTGCACCTCCCCAGTTCTGTAAGACCCCCACGCTTCCGAGACATATCATTCCTGTCTAATCACCAACCCTAGTTGTCTACAACGGCGATCCAGTCGACTGTGCCTTGAACTGGGCAAAGCAGACCGCAGAACCTCACTCGGTAGCCTTCATCTGCGCGGCTAACGACAAACGACCAGGCGGAGATTGGGAAACTGGAGCTGTTGGCTACGAGGAACGCCTATGCCGCCGAAGCACTCTCTCTGCGAACTTGGCAACACCTGCGCCAGGATCGACAGTGACTGAGAATTACCCCATCCCAACTCATGGTGGTATTTACTCGCGAGACGTCGGTTAGTACTAGCAACTGCATGTTATAAACTACTTGCTGACCGTGCCGTGCTTTAGTTGTATTCCGAGGCCCTCACGACAGATACGAGAAGCTCCCGCCCGAGCAGTGGCAGTCGATCCCTGTCATTTCAGTCCATCCTACTCGCTGGCCTAAACTTACGCAAAACGGAACAAAGTTCTCCTTTGAAAAGGAGCGCGACATGTTGAAGGACCTGCTACGAGGAGCACTCCGAATTGCAGCCTACAACGGCCATACACAACTAGTCATTGGTGACTTCGGCCTCGGCAATGGCTACCGCAACCCGCCCCAAGAGGTGGCCGAGATGTGGCGGGAAGTCTTGCTCTACGACCCTGACCTGCGCGGGCGTATCTGCTCCGTGGCCTTCGTCTTTGAGGACCCAAATCAAAGCACCAGCAGACTAATCCTGGAGGACCTTGCCAAGAAGGCCAGGGAAACTCTTAGCAGCGCCGCTGCCGCCGCTTGTCCTTCCGACTTGGAAGTATTTCACAGAGTGTTTCACGACACCGAGATCCAGCGAGTAGTCAGCCAGCCTGATTCTCGGTATGGGCTAAATAACCTGCTTGCGAGTTGAAAACCCCTTTCGTTACCGTCTTTGTTTTGCTCTGCGCTGGAGTTGGCGTTGGGTTTGAGTTCTATTGCATAAAACCGCGGATTCTGCCGCCATGGTGGGCAAATACCCCGGGGCCCTGGCAAGGGTCTCTGAAGGCGGCTGTATCAGTGTTGTGAGACACCCCAATGGGGTTTGGATTTCTTTGGTCTGGCTCGGATGCAGCGATGGGGCGCATAATGGTGGGCTACGGGACACGTTGTTGGTTGCTTCGGTGTCTTGCTTCATTTCTTACCCTTTTGGACCCTTTTTAATACAAAAACTTACCCCACATCGTTTGGTTGATTGCACACTGTACTCTGCTTTGCTACTTCAGGCTCTTGACTACTAGTACCGCCATGACAAGTGGGCTTGGTATGGACTAGCCTGGGGAGCGGGTGTTGTAGGTAACCCACCACCATTGTCTGTCCTGCTCATCGAGCTGGCTGCCAAATCCTGCTCAAGTGACTGGAAAAAGCAAAATTGTACCTGTGTATATGGGCATAGCAGTCACCTATTGGTCTGTTTATCGGCATGATCAACCCGGTGAAGCGCGCTTACGATCATGTCAGACACAACATCAGGCAATGTTTCGTGCAACTGTGTTACGTATGGATCATTGCCCTTCGAAGGTTCTAGGGAGACTAGGGAGAGCGGATGGTATGTATCTCACCGTTAATGCGAAGATCAAGGGCATCCTGAGGAATGAGACCAAATCTACGGGCCGACGAGCTTGTTTGCCGGCAAAACAAGACACCTTTCGGTAACCTCCAGATGGATTCATGATGCAGCTTGACGTCCTGACCGTTGCAAGGTACACCCTAGTTAAACCAAACTCCTACTGTTGTCCATTCTTTCAGACGAATACGGCAACAGAGTAAAAAACATGGTCTCAGAGTGCTGAGGTTGACTTTGGGGGCCAGTGGACGACCGGGGCCTCGTTTCAGTAAGCCATGCCATTTGCCTGCATGAGCCCGCAAAAGCAACTGTACGTACATCGACCGACTGTTGGTCCTATCAGTTCCCAGCTAACCTGATACCACCATTAGTGCTTTGCTTTTTGTCCTTGGTGATATTCCGGGCCCCTCTTGAGGAACCACCAACTAGGAAGCGAGTCATCAAGCTTAGATTTGACGCTTGAGATAATCACGGTTCACGGATCCGAGTAATACGGCTCGGACGTGGTCACTTTTCGACAAGCAAGGCAAGCTACCCCGACGGAGGTGCCACTTGAGAAATTGGACATGCTCGTGGATATTTTGGTGCAGAGAACAGGACAGTTTACTAACTGAGAAACAGTGCTCAGAAGTTTACTGTTCATGGAACTTCCCCCCCCCCCCCCCCCCCCGACCGGTTCAGGAGGATCCATGGGGTAACATGCTACGCCGCAGTTGATCATACACGAGGCTACGCTGCACTGCAGGGCAATGCAAGTTTGTTTTTCAAGACAAATATTCCCCCAGACAGCGCTTCTGATAAAGCTTCGCCCATATGACGGCCGTTTGGTCAAAGTTAAGAATGTCTTCAGTACATCTTGACCAATTGAGCCCGAGTTACGAAGTAAGGGAAAGAACCAACGGTCACGTCGCAGCATGGTCCCAGGACAACAAACTAACAGCTCAACGGAACATGTAAGATCCAGATCCGAGTCTGTAAAAGCATAAAAGGAGTTTGCAATGGCGCTAACCGGTTACGTCTCCGCAATTCACTTACAGAATACAGGGCATTACGTACGACACAGTGAGCAAGGCATTAGAGACTGCGTTTGTTTCAGAACAACAATGGTGCCTTACGGGAAGTAAGGACATGGCATGAACGTGGGCATGGACAGGACTGTCGAGTGCAGCCTGCTCCTTTTCCGGTCCTCGAGTGGCCGTATCTCCGTCCCTACCCTTCAATCCCGCGACAGCCCCCCAAAACCCTTACGAGGCAATCATTCTCCAGCGTGGTGAGTAGGTCTAGTCTCCAACCGCCTTTAGGTCAAGCCTTGACGTCGTCTCATACATTCTGCAGTGAAAAGGCAACTACGGCGGGAGCAGTGCGTCCACGACTGATGTATGGTCTTGTCTTGTCACTACACTTGGTCGAATGCAACTCTCGAGTCAACTTCATCCTTCATTATTCGGGATGTTCCTCTCCCGTCCCTCCTCCCAAACCACAAAACGTGTTGGCCAAACAAGCAGCGCCTCAATCACATAAGAATGGGCCCTCGCTTTCGCTTACCCCATCCAAAGACGGATGCTCACTTGAACAAACCTGGCAGTGACTACCGATCGGTCCAGTCCGAACGCTTACCACCCCCACGGAACTGGAAACATTCCACAGAAGACCGTCTGTCACTTGACCGTGTGAATGCCGGGGATACGTATGTGTCAAACCAACCACCATATACGGTACTGCATGTGAGCCCTGGTAAGCCTGCCCGATATTTACCCTTTCATTGAGCCAACTAGATGAACTACGCAGTACAACTTACAATCAATTTGCATCCGTGGCGGAAACCGTCAAACTCTTCAAAAACCGGCCCAGCCACCCTTAATTGGAACTGACAACATCGAGATATGCCACCTCTCCGACGACTCTAGTGGCCTTGTCTCCACGCCTTCATTCGAGTACGTTACACAATCACACAGGCCGTGTTACACAAAGATCAGATCACACCAGTTTGGGTGGTGTTACTGCGTTAAGCAGCACACCGGACAATAGCATGCCAGAGATAACATGGTGTACACTGATCGGTCTGTGGATGTGCATTGTATGCCCTGTAAAGCCCCGTGGATTCCTCCGTGACGGGAAACGGCATGTTTGTCTGCGATCTGTACAACCCGATCTCGCACACCACCCCCTCACTGTAACTCACTTGTGTTTCCCCAGTGCTCTTTCCCACCGCATCTCTGTATAACACAACCTTGACGCCACGAGTACTACATGCTACCACTTGTTGTTTCCACAGTAAACTGACACCTAGTGAACAGGTATCTACGAGCTACCGTCCGCAACTCCGTATCTGTTGGCAGCATGTCTCCAACTTACCGCCTTTACGATGTATGTCGCCCTCGAAATGTTGTCTCTCTGTTAAGCACGGCCCGACCCTGGAAGAAGGTTGACCGCGCATGCGACCGCTTTTGTGTTACCACACTACCGCAACTAAACCTACGACCGCAAGAAACTGTGTTGTTACACGTTGTTGACCGCAAGTTTAACGCCATGGGATTTTCCTAACGGTAGCTACATCCAAACTAGCGGCGGGCACGCAGCGCATCACGAACGGGCCGGGTACGCCTCCGGGCTAGAGATTGATGACCATACCAGAAATGCTAATTTAGCTCTGACCCGTCGACAATGATGACGGGGACGGTGACTGTACTGTCCTTCTTAGGCAAAGTTGCATTTTCCCCCAACTGACTATCCGCCTGCACTCTCTGCGTATAGCATTCCGTGGCCGATTTTCAGTAGCTAACATCATGTCGTGAGTAGTATCGTACGATATCCCTTGGACTCTCATCAAATCATTGACTCTCGATTTACTGACTTGATTTATTTCATCCGTTGGATCATTTCCACACATAACGCAGTTCACACAGTATGTCACCACCTCAAAATGTGCCACTTCACAGTGTTTCAGGGTTGATACGACACATGGCAAGCCGCAACCACCTCCCACATACCGACGGCTCCTACTGGCTCAACAGACTTATACTATTCCTATGTAGCTTGGGTGGGACAGCGCACATTGTCATCCCTTGTACCTGGGACCCAACAGCCATTTTTGAGACTACAACCCCAGAAAGACAACATCACTGCCGGACTCACCCCACCCACACACAACCATGCACTCGGCATTGGAGGCGCCAGGAACAAAGAGACCCAGCCCAACAGACAAGCTCGGATAGAGGCAAGAACAGGGACCAGGTTTATGGCCAGACAAAGGGACACAAGGGTGGGTTTGACAGGGCTTAAAGGATGATCAACGGCACGGGCCTGAAAAGTATTCAGCATGTGGCGCTTGGGAGTATGCCTCATGTTGAGTATAAGCTCATACGTACCCACCGGCTCACGATTTTTGAAGCAACAAGCTTAACCTATGCTTGGTTGCATAGAGAGAGCGGGAAATATCGTTGGATGACAGAAAAACTAACAGGCAGCAGGTCCAGAACTTACGATAGCATACTCTAGTCGGTAACCGCGGATACCCGACAAAAAAGAAATGTCCACTCAATACTTCAAGTTACTGGTTCGTAAACTTTTCCTCCAGTTCTCAGCTACAGCAATCTTCGGGGTTTCTCTCGTCCAATCTCGATTGTAGTTGGAAGAAGAACAACTGTCGGACCAACACACCTCACACGCCTAACAAGCAAGACTAGAGGAGCAGGGGAGATGGGGAGCCTTTCTCGCCCAATCCGTGCCCCAGTCTAGCATACATTCCGCGCATCTGATTGTAGTCAAGCACCCCTTCAACCTCACTCAGTCAAAGATCCTACCTCATTCCTGGTTTCCCCCATCCCACCAAACAGCCATACATCTCCCTTTTGGGACCACCCACTACCCACGAAGAGGGGAAAGAACGGCAGACGAATTGGACTCAGCAGTGAAACGCCGGGTATCTCAGGTATGCAATGTCGTGGAGGATTGTATGTGGGCAAGCGGGATGAACAGGAACCTGCCATGACTGATTACAAAATTGCGACCACGAACAACACAAGCACCAATAGATGGAGCATACCCAGACTCATTACCATGTATTCCCTCATGTCTCACTGGGGGTTTATAGGCAGGAAGTCCGAGCCGGCGAATGGCTTACCGAATCCGTGGTGGGGGTAAGGAGCGGCAAGTGGGGAGCACAACAGCACCCGATCAGATGGCTGGCGATTTTTGGAACCCTTTGCTCGCTCAGTGGGAGTAAGAAGGCGACGATTGTGGTGCTAGCTTGCGAACGGTAAAATCCACATCCTTGCCTGGAGTAAGAACCTTACTGTTTGTACTCG